AAACCCCATCCCTTTAAAAAAAAAAAAAAAAAAAGGTGCATTTGGTACAACATGGCTTCTTAACACAAATCAGCTAATTTTATACTTAACTGGGGAACAGCATTGAGCAGGCAGCCACCTGCCCTTGTGGCCTGTGGCATCTCAGCTGTAAATGCCATGTGACTGCTCAGTGAGAACTCCAGCAAAAGATTCTGTAGTGAGGAAAGGGCCTCCTTTCTTCTCCCCTCTGGTTTCTGTCACCCCACCCCACCTTTTTGACCTTTTAGGTCACGGGTGGGGAGGGCAGTGCTGAGTCATCAAGGAAGAGGAGGAAGAAGGTATGAATAGGACGTAGGAGCCCAGCCCTGCGGTGGAGCCCAGGCTTCTCCTGGGGGAAGTAGACGGGAGGGTTCTTTCTGACTCAGTCCTGGCCCCATTGCTTTGTGTCCTGGGTCCAGCAGGATAGGTTCAAAATACTCAGAGGCTGAGACAGGAGAATCACTTGAACCCAGAAGGCGGAGGTTGCAGTGAGCTGAGATCGCTCTACTGCACTCCAGCCTAGGCAACAGAGTGAGACTCCATCCTGCAAACAGTACATAGTAAATATTATTATCATAGAGGTAATTACAAACAACACTTACTTAGCACTTTGTTCTAAGCACCTCATTTAGTTCTCCAATCCTATAGGGTAGGTGCTCCTTAAAGATAGGAAGGTGATGCTCAGAGATGTTCAGTAACTTGCCTAAGTGACCTAGCTGTTAATTGGCAGAGCTGAAATTCGAACCTAGCCCTCCTTGCTCCAGAGTCCATGTTTTTAAAATACTGTACCAAACTGCCTTTGTGATGGTGACTGGGGCCTGGAAGGAGTTTGTGGTCTGCCTCTAAAGAACTGTGGGTGCCATAGCAGGTAGCTGGAGGTTTGTCTCCTGCCCTTCTCACCTTCACTCTGGTCTCTCCTTCCCTACAGGTGTGTCCAGCATCATGGCCTCCTCCCAGTAACCGCAGGTGTTTAATAAAGATGTGTTGACAGCCCTACTGTCTCCTCCCTGGCTCCCTTCCTCTACCCCTTGCCCACCAGAGGGAGCCCAGGAGCAGGCCTCAGGTCTGGGCCCCTACCCCACCACACCTGCTTGGTGGGGTTTCCGCCTCCTTTTTCCCCTCTTCCACTTCCTCCCTTGCCCCACCCTGCCTCCCTGACCTTTTAGGTCATGGGTGGGGAGGTCAGCATTGAGTCAGCAAGGAAGGAGTATGAATGGGATTTGGCAGCCCAGCCCCCTGGTGGAGGCTGAGCTCCTCTGGGAGGAGTGAAGGCGAGGGTTCCTTCTGTCTTGATCCTGGTTCTCTTGCTTTGTGGGGTTAAGGGACTCCACCTCTCTAATTCTCAGCTTCTTCATCTGCAGGAGGGGAAGAATAATGCACCTTTCTGAAACCTGTGAGGGTTCCACCAGCCCGCACCAGTAAAGGTCTGAGAGCCAGGCCTGCCCTGTCCTTGCGTTTCGAAAAAATACAGAATACACGCCTGTAAATCTGAGTACTTTGGGAGGCCAAAGCAGGAGGATTGCTTAAGTCCTGGAGTTTGAAACCAGCCTGGGCAACATAGCAAGACCCTATCTCTTTTTTCCTTTTTTTTTTTTTT